TTTMTCTCTCTTTTGGAACACATCTATCAACATGCAAACATGCAGTAATATCTTCCATCTGAAAAATTCAAATGCTTTGTTTGATCTACATTATTGTCCAAGATTGCCCCATTCCTCTTCTTTTACTACAAAACTTGAAATTTTTATTTTAATTCTAGCATCAATTTATTTTCTTTCTACTCAAATTACATCTTTGCAGTGCTAGGGATGAAACTCAGGGCCTCATGCATACTAAGCAAGTGCTCTAACCACTGAACCACACTGATAGCCCCTTATATGGTCTCTTTTTAAAAATTTATCTTCTTCTTTTTAGGTATTAGTGATTGAACCCAGGGCTATTAACCACTGAGATACATCCCCAGCCCTTTTTTGTTTTTTTGTTTGTTTGTTTGTTGAAACAGGATCTCACTAAATTGCCTGAGCTGGCCTTGAACTTGTGATCATCCTACCTCAGCCTCCAGAGGAGCTGGAATTACAGGTATGTGCTACTGTCCCCAGCTCCAATCATACCTTTCAACTCACTATACTTCTTTATAAAAACCATTAATGAAAATCTGTATTGCTCTACCCAATAGCCAATTCTTAGTTCTTATCCTAGTTAGCCATCCTGGAACAGCAAACACTGCTCAACAACAACAACCACAACTACTATTACTACTAGTTGTTGTTGTTGTTGTTGTTGTTGTTCTTCTTCTTCTTCTTCTTCTTCTTCTTCTTCTTCTTCTTCTTCTTCTTCTTCTTCTTCTTCTGTACCTGGGATTAAACCCACAGATGCTTTACCACTCAACCACATCCCCGGCCCTTTTTATATTTTATTTAGAGACAGGGTCTCATTGAGTTGCTAAGGGTCTTGGTGAGTTGCTGAGGCTTGCTTTGAACTCATGACCCTCCTGCCTCAGTTTCCTGAGCGGCTGAGATTACAGGTGTGTGCCACTGCACCCAGCCACTTCCTTCTTCCTTCCTGTCATTTGGTTTTGAAATACTATTCCTATCTCAATGGCATCTTCCCTTTCAGTCTCCTTACCTGGATGCTCCTTGTTTACTGAATTTCTAAACACTGGAGCTTACCCAGGTTTAATTGACCTTCTTTTCTGTCTTCATGAATTCCCTTGGTAAACTTTCCAGTCTTATGCTTCCTAATTTATATCTCTATTCCTGAAATATGAACTTACACATCTAATACTTAAATAGCATCTCAAAATATACCTGTGCAAACTGAACTCTTGATTCCTCCATTGCCCTAACTTGCTCTTTCTTCAGTCATTTCCATCTCAGTAAATGGCAACTCCTTTGTTTCAGTTGCTCAACACAAAAATCTTGGAGTCATCCTTGACTCAATCTGCTTTATACTCTGAGTTAAGCCATCAGCAAATTCTGTCCCTCAATCTTCAATAGGTAGACTCTTATCCAATCTCACTACTCTACTGCTACATGCTAATAGGAGCCACCATCAACTCTTGCTTGCATTCCTGTAATAGCCTCCTATTTGACTCCTTGCTTCTACGCTTTTCCCCACAGTCTGTTCTCCATATAACACAAGGGGCCATCCTTTCTAAAAAGGAAGTCAAATAAGTTCATTACCCAGCTAGAAGTTTTCCAGTCATTCCTCATCTCACTTGAATCAAGCCAAAATCTTTACAGTGGTCTACAAGGCCTCAGGTGATTTAACCCTGTTCCTTCCTAATACTCCAACTTTGTTGCCTACCATTGTCTCCCTTATGTATTCCTCCCCCTTAGCCATACTGACCTCTTTGCTGATTATTTGAAAATACCAAGAATGCTACTTTTTCAGGGTCTGTACACCTGTTTTTCTGTCTTCTGGAATGCCCTTCCTTAGATATCTCTATGCCTTTGTTCCTTCACTTCCTTGTCTGTCCCCTTATATAAAATAGAATCCCATCACCAATCTCCTTTACCCTGCCTTATTTTTCCCTCTGTATCATGTTTGACCACAGATAACATTGTGTGTGTGTGTGTGTGTGTGTGTGTGTGTGTGTGTGTGTGTGTGCATGCACTGGAGATTAAATCCAGAGCCTCAAGCATTCTAGACAAACACTATGTCACTGAGCCATATTCCCCACCCAACCACAGATATAAAAGCTTGAAATGAACCAGGCATGGAGGTGCACGCCTGTAATCCCTGTGGCTCAGGAGGTGGAGGCAGGAGGACCACGAGTTAAAAGCCAGTCTCAGCAATTTAGTGAGGCGCTAAGCAACTCAGTGAGACCCTGTCTCTAATAAAATGCAAAAATAGGGCTAGGGATGTGGCTCAGTGGTCTAGGGCCCGTAAATTCAATCCCCAGTACACCCTCCTCCCCCCCAAAAAAAGCTTGAAATGGAAAATCAGGAGAAAACCACCCTCCTGGAATAAGGATGAGGAGAGATGTTGGAGGGAGAGGAGCCTTGTTTTGACCTTGGGATCTGGGGAGGAAGAAGGGAATCAGGGAGTTTTGTGGACAGAGGAGTCTACTTCCTTTGAAGCAACTGCCTCTTAGGCTGGAAAGGTGCAGCCCATCCATCAGCCCCGTGTAGAAAAGGGAGCAAAATTCTCTCTAGGGTAATCCTGAAGATTTGTTGGGGCCAACTGCCAAATGTTGGGGGGCTTCCCCAGAGACCACCAGAATCTGGCTGTGGATACTTTGGTGCCTCCAGGTGGTAGCCTGTGGTGCTGCAGCAGAATGTGTGTGAGGTGGAGGGTAGGCAGCACAGCTGAGCTCACCACCACGAGCGAGCGCATCCATCCCTCCCGGGCCTATAATTTGGGTTCCCCCAGCCTGGCCGCCCCTATCAGCGGCTTAGCAACAGATGAGTCACCCAAGACCCCGGGCCAAGGCAAACATGAGGGGAGGAGGAGGAGGAGGTTCCCGAGGCTGTGACTGGGTTTAGCCACCGCCTCAGTTACTTGATTCCCCCAATCTCCAGGGGCCCCCATTTTTTTCTTTGACCCCCGCCCTCCAGGGCCCCAGTGTTCTTCCCACATTGTTCTGTTACACCCTCCATCCTCATGAATGGAAGAGCAGCCCTTTATTCTTCTCATTGAGAGGAATGGGGACCAGCTTGCTCCCACTCCCTTGCTGCAGTGATGACAGCCCCCCATTTGCCCCCTCCTGTCATAGCCCCAACCCTAGTCAAGGTCTCTCTGGTTCCTGCCCCTCCCCTTTCCTGGAGCTGGCCGCGTGCTTCGGGTATTAGGCAATGGGTGTGCACCCGCAGCCCTCTCCAGGCCCCGCCTGTCCCACCGCCCTCTAGCTGCCTGCGGGTCAGTGCTCAGGCCAGCCGGTCGGGCTGAGGGCACTGTGGGCCAGCTCAGGCCACCCAGTCAGCCTGCTTGTGGCCTCCTATCTCAGAGCTAGGCTTCAGTGAGGAGAGGGAGCAGGCATATGCATCCTTGGATTTGAAACATCCAGCTTGGACAGCCACCCAATCACTGAGATGTTGAAACTTTTGGCAATAGTTCTGTCCCCGGCCCCATTTTGTCACCTGCCTGGAGTCTGAGGATAGAATCAAAGGCAAAAACAAAAACAAACTAAAACTGGACAAAATCCAAAACTTGAGGGAGACCAGAGACTCATGAAGAAATACAAATGTGTATGAGGTCCCCATGGAGAAAAGGGGCATAGGAAACTTCATTACCTCCTCTTCCAGGGACCTGGGTGGAATCCCAGGCTGACATGAGGAAAAAGGTTGGGGACACTGGTAGGAATCACTGAATCCAGGTGTAAGGATGAAAGCTACAAGACAGGGCTTTCAGATTCTGGTGACCTCAACAGTCACACGTGTTTGGATCGCATCCTATAAATAGGAAGGCTGTTCAGGAGTTCTTGGCCTTCTTCTCCCCACCCCAGAGATGGGGAATAAAAGAAAAGCAACCATTTGTGGTCCATGCTGTCCAATGTCAGGAACTATGGCACTTACCTCCCCAGACTGTTCAGTATGTGCCCAGTAAACATCCCAGTAGATTTAAGTTCCTGATTTCTTTCAGACTGCTATGCCCCTTAGCCAGGAGTGCCCCCTTCAGCACAAGGCAGGACCTGCCACAGCACAGACTCCAGGCTGGCTGCCCAGCAGAGCTGTTGCCACCACCAAGGAAGAGGTGATTGTGGCTGTGGGTATCATCTCTGTCCTTCTGCTTACTTGGTGGGGGGGCTGGTCTCTGAGTCAATGCGCTTGAGTGCACAGGGCCAGCAGTGCCTTAGGCTGTGGTCTGGCAGGGGCTGGGGGTGGTTGGGAAGCTTGGGGCCCCTCTCTGGCAAAAATAGTCCGCAGTGGTTAGAGCTACTAGGGTGAGTCAGGCGGGAGTGCAGCGGTGCCTAACCCCTTCGCTGCCGCTGGAGCTACCTAAGGCATTTTGTCTCGCCTGTGCACCCCAAGACCAGATTACTTCCCGGCTCTCCCTGAGCTAGGCTCAATTTGGGATTCTGAAGCACTCCTCAGCCCATGTGAAGCAAGTCTAGGGGCCTGGAGCAGGAATACAGTCCTCCCAAGTGCAAAGCCAGGAATCCATGAATGATAGGAGACCTCTTTGGGCAGGTATGCCTACGGAGGAAGACAAGCATAGGCGCAAGATACAGATCTTTGGGGCTACCTGAACCTTTTGACTAGGGTCAAATTCTCCCAGGGGGTTGGGGGAGGGTTGGGAGGTGGGCAGGAGCCAAGCCACTTGGTCTCATTGGCTTTTTCTGCAGGTACTGAGTGCCCTGCTGTGTGCTCACATTGTGGGTTCTATAAGTGACTGTCAAACGCCTGAAGGAGAAGATAAATCCAACTCCCTCCTCCCCTTGTCAAAGAGCTGTCCACCCATCCCACTGTCGGTGGGAGAAACTGAGGCAAAGAGAAATGAAAGATTTGGTCACTTGGGCTGGGTCCCGGCTCCCTAATCTGAGCCAGGCACCCTCCCTATACGTCCTTAGTGACCCCAGAGCAGGTGAAAGAAACTCCGGCCACCTCCTCTTTCAGGAGGACCAAGCGTGAACCCAGGCGTCGGGGGAGAGGGTGTGTGTGCGCGCTGGGAAGAGGGGGAGCGGCTGCGTTCCCCTAGTCAAAGGGGGGTGGGGTGGGGATGCCCCGGGCTCGGGGAGGGGCCATAGCTTCGTCAGCCCAAGCAAAGCCACCCGTCAGTTCGGATCGAGCAGAGCCAGAGCCCCCAGTGCTTTGCTCGCCCGCTYGTTCGCTAGCCCTTTCGATCACTCCCTCTTTCCCTCCCTCCCTTCCTCCCGGCGGCCGCGGCGGCGCTGGGGAAGCGGCGAAGAGGAGTGGCCCGGCTCTGGAAGAATGCAGCTCTGCCGAAGGGGCAGAACCCTTCGCAGTCACCCCACGGTTTAAGCAGTCCGAGCGGAGCCCAGGCGACCCAACCGTGTGGGTCACGGACTCTGCACCCGAACCGCTGGAGGTAATCGGACATGGGAAAGCAGGAAGGGCAACGAGGCGCGCACCCGGGACCAGACAGGCACGCGGGTAGTCAGACAGACACGCATCCACCCATAAGAGCACAGACACGCAGAGAGCCAAAGATGTTGCCAGAGATAAAGACAGAGAATAAAGGAGTGCTTCCAGATTTAGAGGGCAATGAACGCCAAGGCAAAGGGGTGGGGACACAGGCTGGGACCTGTGGGGACCAGACGGGTCGCAGGCTGAGGAGGGGAGCATTTACTTAGGAAAGGGTGGACAGACACTAGGACTCAGCTTGCCACACCATCCCTTGCTGGGGAGCACCAAGTTTCCCTCCTCTTTGGCTGCACCTGGAGCCTCTCCTGTTTCTCTGTTGTGCAGGGAGGGGGTAGAGCTGGGTGGAGAGCCCAGTCTTCGACCTTTCTGAAGGAGCTTGCCTGCCATTGATGGCACCTGGAGGAGACACCCCCCTCCCGCCCCCAGGTGGTGGGGAACCCCCTCCTGATCCCACCCCCTTAGCCCTATAAGGGTGGGGAAGCCAGTCTTGGGGCCCTTGAGGAGGGAGCAGAGGGAGCAGTGGGTGAGGTCCTGGAGCAAGTGTTTGCAAGTCTGTATTTGCATGTGAGTGTGTCTGTGTGCCGGGCATTGTGTCTAACTGGACTGGGCTCCAGGGGCCTTCCTGTGAGTCCTTAGTTGGGTGACCTGGTCTCTTTCTCTTCAAGCACTCCAAAGACTCAGGGACTCTGGAAATCAAGGGGGTGATTCTAATTGCTTGGTTTGGAGAGGGGTGAAAAGGGTCAGTGAGGTTGGCACCGGTGGCTTAGGAGACCGAAGTAGGGCATCCTTCGGTTCCCTGGGGAGCAACCATATTTCAGAGCTAGCATTGAATCTCCCTGTCCCGCAGGCGCTGATCATCTGCGCACCGGAGCCTCCGGGCTTCGACATGCTGGAGGAGCCCCGGCAGCGGCCTCCGCCCTCGGGCTTCGCGGGTCTTCTATTCCTGGCCTTGTGCAGTAGGTGAGCAGATTCCCCTGTTTTCCAGACTACGAGAGAAGCACTGACCTGGCGTGGGGAGATTGGGAGGGAGGTGTGCGGCCTGATCCACAGATCCCAGACGCCTTTTCTGTTCCCAGGGCTCTAAGCAATGAGATTCTGGGCCTGAAACTGCCGGGCGAGCCGTCGCTGACGGCCAACACCGTGTGCTTGACGCTGTCGGGTCTGAGCAAGCGGCAGCTAGGCCTGTGCCTGCGCAGCCCCGACGTGACGGCGTCCGCCCTTCAAGGTCTGCATATCGCTGTCCACGAGTGTCAGCACCAGCTGCGCGACCAGCGCTGGAACTGCTCCGCGCTCGAGGGCGGCGGCCGCCTGCCGCACCACAGCGCCATCCTGAAGCGTGGTGAGCCTGGCGGGCGGGACCGGGACCGTGCAGCAGCCGAAGCTAGGGGGTGGGGGGCAGGCTGAGGCGAGTGGAGGCGGGAAGAGACCGGTTCATGGCTTCGGGAGGGGCCTCTTCGGGAATTCCCCCCGCCCCAGCGCTGAGCCSGGTCTGGCCACTCGTCGGTCGGTGGCTTTGCAGTCCTGATTTCCACCTGTGCGCTGCTGGCAAGGCAGCTGGGTCTCTGCTTCCCTACCCCAGGGCCCCCTCTTTCCTGCCTCTGCCCAGCTCAGTCTGGGTTGCACCTGTGAACAAGAGATGCCCCCAGCCCTGGAAGCCTCAAATTTCCCCTATTCCCTCCCCTATTTTTCTCTTCCCCTCCCTCTCTACCGGGACAAGCCCAGGCCAGTGTCCCCAGCGGGGGTGGGGTGACGCCCCCAACCGTTTAAGGGTTAAACCTGCTCCCCTAGTTGCTGGGGTTCCCAGGAGCCAAAGCTGGGAACAAAGACCCTGATGGCTTTGAAGCTGGGGAGCAGCCCCCTCCTCTGGTGCTGTGGGGAGCCCAGGTGTCACTCACCTGAGCAGGTGAGGAACGCTGGAGGGACAGAGAACAGGTCACTGCTGGCCAGGTCTGGAAGGGATGATCTGGGAGATTTTATTGTCAGTACCTATGCCTTGCTTAAGTTTACTCCCTGAGGAGTAAAGATCCATGGGGGCTCAGCCTGGGGTGGGTGCAGTGCTTTGGGGACTATGGGGTTAATAAGCAGCTGCCATCTGCAGGGGAATTCCCAAGACTTGTGCAAACAGCTTCACCCTTAGAGAGTTGGGATTGGGGGGGATCAGGAGACTGGCCTGGGAGCCCTGAATCCCAGTGTAAGAGAGACCTGGCCTCTAAGAGGGTGCTGTCTTTCATCTTCTCAGGGCTCCAGGGAGCCCCTGCCTAAAATGAAGTAAGGGACCCTTTCTTCACCTCAGGGCCTGGCTTAGGGGAAGGCTTTGACACCCAAATGGTCATCTATCTAAGCCTGGGAAAGGCTTGTCATCCTGAGCCTCCGTGACCCCAAAAACATAACAAAGAGGCCAACCTCTTAAGAGGGCCTTAGGGAAAATCACCCCCGCCTCTCTCCTCCTCCCAGTGTTTTATAGAGTAATAGCAGGTTATGATAAACATAAAGGGCAGTCTTGAAGGGCAAATATACAACTAGAATCTGGGAGAGGGAAGGGTAACTCCATAGCTCCAGTGCTTTGGGGTTTTCTGTGGGGTAATGGAGGGTAGATTGATTAAAAGACTGATTTAAATAATTCTTTAGGGGAATACAAAAGAACCCTAAAATTCTCTGCTCCCATCCCACTCCAGCTCTTTCAGGGCTGGGRAATTCCTAAGGCTTTCAGATGTAGAACTCTATGAATACATCTTCTCATCTTCTCAGGGACTCCCTCTTAGTCATCTCCCAACCCCAAGGGTCTCTCCCTCTGGATTGGCTCTTTTATCTACACCTGAAAATCAGAGTGAGAATGGACCTCAGAGAGCATCTTGATCAATGAGTCTGCTTTTATAGATGAGGAAACAAGCTTTGTGCTGTTTCCTTTCTTGTCCTGTTAAACTTTCTCCCAATCACTCAGCTAGAATATAGCAGGGTCAGGATTCAATTAGAAAATTTTGGAATTGGAAGATGGCTGTTTATTTCCTCCTGCTTCCCCATTCTCAGCTGCCTGTCAACCTTACCTCCACCATTATAATCCTTATCATCCCCAGGTTTCCGTGAGAGTGCTTTCTCCTTCTCCATGTTGGCTGCTGGAGTCATGCATGCTGTTGCCACTGCCTGCAGCCTGGGCAAGCTGGTGAGCTGTGGCTGTGGCTGGAAGGGCAGTGGTGAGCAGGATCGGCTGAGGGCCAAACTGCTGCAGTTGCAGGCACTGTCCCGGGGCAAGAGTTTTCCCCACTCCCTGCCCAGCCCTGTCCCAGGCTCAAGCCCCAGTCCTGGCCCCCAGGACACATGGGAATGGGGTGGCTGTAACCATGACATGGACTTTGGAGAGAAGTTCTCTCGGGATTTTTTGGATTCCAGGGAAGGTCCTCGGGACATCCAGGCACGGATGAGAATTCACAACAACAGGGTGGGACGCCAGGTATGTTTGTGGGCCTTATCCTGGTTTCCTTTGCTATTAAGTTCAGGCTAGAGTGTGAGAAGCCCAGAAGCCCAGCAGAGTAAGAGGATGAGGTGTGGTGGGTGATCTCCATTTGCCATCAGCAAGTCACCCAGCCTTGGATTTGCATCTGTACAAAGAATCTGATGATAACCATATCACAACATCTTTAAAGCTGAGCTAGCAAATAGGGCACCCCACACAGTGCCTAGTCCTTGGCTTGTTACATGGTGGCTGTTATTACAGCTGCCTTCCCTAAAGACCTGAGGGGCACTCTGGGCTACACTTTCCATTTTACCAATCTTACTCTGGAAAGAACACTGGACTGAGAGTCCAGAAAACTGGAGTTGAGTTCTGGTTCTGTTACCAGTTGATGATCAAAGATGGGCAAATCCAACCAGGTGTGGTGGCACATCCCTGTAATCCCAGCTACTCTTAGGCAGGTGAATCACAAGTTAGAGGCCAGCCTGAGTAACTTAATAAGACACTGTCTCAAAATAAAATTAAAAGGGCTTTTGTAGGCTAGTGGTAGAGCACACCTGGATTCAATACGTATTACCATATTCTGCCCCCCCCCCACTCCACCATACCCACACAAAACAAATCACTTAGTGATTTAGTTCAGTTATACGATGGCTTCAGTTCAATTATATGATGCGGGAATTGAGCTATTAGCTAACTTTAAAATGCCCTTTCTCTTCTGATATTCCATTTGTTCCTCCTTGTGTTCTCTCTTTCCTTCCCTCTCCTATGTCTACATGCTCTTTCCATTTGCTGCCCTCCCCTTCACCTGTGCTCCTCTGATGCTCTAGGTGGTAACTGAAAACCTAAAGCGGAAATGTAAGTGCCATGGCACTTCAGGCAGCTGCCAGTTCAAGACATGCTGGAGAGCGGCCCCAGAGTTCCGGGCTGTGGGGGCAGCATTGAGGGAGCGATTGGGTCGAGCCATCTTCATTGATACCCACAACCGCAATTCTGGAGCCTTCCAACCCCGCCTGCGTCCTCGACGCCTCTCAGGAGAGCTGGTCTACTTTGAAAAATCTCCTGACTTCTGTGAGCGAGACCCCACAGTGGGCTCCCCAGGCACAAGGGGCCGAGCCTGCAACAAGACCAGCCGTCTGTTGGATGGCTGTGGCAGTCTATGCTGTGGCCGTGGGCACAATGTGCTCCGGCAGACAAGAGTTGAGCGCTGCCATTGCCGTTTCCACTGGTGCTGCTATGTGCTGTGTGAGGAGTGCAAAGTCACAGAGTGGGTCAATGTATGTAAGTGAGGGTCAGCCTGACCCTGGCACTAGGTAAAGGTACTGTGTGAAAGGGCAGCTTTTCAGCCCTTTGCTCTGATTTCTGTTTAGGGTCAATCTTGACACCATGGAAGTTCAAAGTATCTACCTGGAAATGGCTTTGGGAGTCGTGAGGTTTAGGTGAGGTCTGTGATGTGTGGCCTTCTCCCCATAGTTGCAGGGTGGTTGGGGAAAACTGTTACCCCTATTTTGCTCCTTAAACATCTAAATGGACTAAGATGAAATGCACTGTCATGCTCCCCTCTTCTCAAATCCAGGGCCCCTTCTCAACTCCAGGCTTCTGTTGTTCATACTCCTTTTGGCGGGGGAATCCTTAAGGTTTGGCTGTCCTCTCCCTTAAGGGATAGCCCAAGCATTGTGTGGAGCCATTAAGACCAGTTTCTAGAAAGGAACTACCACTCCTGTTAGCCTTCCCATAATTCTCTACCACAGCCTAGACTTTCCCTTGTGGGGTCAAGTGAGACAGTAGGAGTAGAGAAGTTTTTCTTGGGGAAGGAACAGAGTACTGGAGAGTACTCTCCCCCAAATCCCCCAAAGGCTATCCRTGTAGACTCTTAGGGAAGTTGTTTCCTTCCATTCAGATGTTAAAGGGGACCTGCCAAAGGAAGGGTTTACCTAAGATTCTTGGAGCCTGTTTTTTCTTCTTTAGCAGGAGGGATGGGAATGGATAATTTATTGTACTGAGACTTGTTCTTGGTTCCAGTTTGAAACTAAAATAAATTAAGTTACTGAACTGGTGGATGTACATGGTGATATATTTAGGCAAAGTTGGGGGATCCTATTCCATAGTTTCTTTTCCAGGTGATTTCTCCTACCCTCCTATACTCAATGACTTTATTTACACACATCATCCTCAGTAACTTAGTTGGCATCCTTTGCTTTGTGAAATCAGGGCTAGGGTTTACTTCTAGGTGGTATTAGAGATCCAAATATAGACCCTGTTTAGTATTTGTGTACCTCAACTTCAGATGTAATCTTGATCACTGCCTAAAACAAGTTTGGCATTTTTTTCCCTATAAAAGGCAAGATAGTAAACATATTGGGCTATCTACATTGTAATCTTTGTCTCAATTATTCAATTCTGCTCTTATGGAGCAAAAAGTAGCCATAGATCAAGCATAAATGAATGGGCATGACTAAGTTCAATAAAACTTAATTCACAAAATTGGGCTGCAGGACTGATTTGGTCCTCTGGCTGTAGTTTGATGATCTCTACCTGTATTATGAGTTTTTCTTTGGAGTTTTAAATTCTTAAAGGTATTTCAGCATTGAATGTGAACCTAAAAGAGCAGGTACTTCCCTCTTAGTCTCCAAACCAGAGAATTTGGGAGATAGATGTAAGACTGACCGGAAGCATAGAAAAGGGATTCCTATGTCAAAATGAGTTGTTCGTCCCACTCCAAGCCAGCAAAACCAGTATGCTCTCCCATTGAGTTTACTGCCTATGTATTTTTGTCCTTTTTTTTTTGGTGTGTGTGGGTGGGGGTGGGGTAGAGGTTGAACCAGGGGTACTTTCTCACTGAGCTACATCTCCCCTCCCTTTTAATTTTTTATTGTGTAGCAAAATCTCACAAAGTATTGAGGCAGGCTTAGAACTTGTAATCCTTTTGCTTCAGTTTCTTGAGTTGCTGGGGCTACAGGTTTTAAACTACCCTATCAGGCTTGTCCTTTTTTTCAGAATTCTTTTGCATTTAATCTTAGTAAAATAATTCTATTATTATTATTTGGTTCCAACCTCTCTTTTTCCAGCCTAATACCTTTGAGAGGCCAAATCCTAACTACTGTACGACCAGGGAATGTGTAGTCCAATATATTTGAAAATAAACTTATCTTCCCATGATTCAGTGCTAAAAAGGGATATGCATTACATATTTAGAATTTTACAAATGACTAACAAGTCATGTCCTTTGCAAGGGAATGTAGAAATAGTTCTTTCCACTTCTCTAAGCAATAGATATTTCTGCAACCCAAATGACCCTCAAATCAGGTGAAATGAGAGTAGTACTGGGGTAGCTAGGAAATTTTGAGAAGTGTTGAGATAGGGCAGTAATTTATGACAACTTTTTTTTCCTTTTCTTTCTTTCTTAAAATATATATATATATATATATATTATAATTTTATTTATTTATTTTTATGTGGTGCTGAGGTTCAGACCCAGTGCCTCACACATGCTAGGCAATTGCTCTACCATTGAGTCACAACCCCAGTCCCTCCTTTTCTTTCTTAAAAAAAATTTTTGTTTTGGGGGGATACTGGGGATTGAATCCAGAGGCACTTTACCACCAAGCTTCATTCCCAGCCCTTTTTATTTATTAATTAAAAAAATATTTTTTGGGGGGAGCTGGGGTTGTAGTTCAGTGGTACAGCACTTGCCTTGCACGTGTGAGGCCCTGGGTTGGATCCTCAGCACCACATAAAAATAAACAAATAAAAATAAAGTTATAAATTTTTTTTTTTTTTTTTTTTGGTACCAGGGATTGAACTCAAGGGCACTTAATGACTGAGCCACATCCCAGCCCTTTTATTTATTTTGAGGCAGGATCTTGCTAAATTGCTTAGGGCCTTGCTAAGTAACTGAGGCTGGCTTTGAACTTGTGATTCTCCTGCCTCAGCCTTCTGAGCAGCTGGGACTATAGGCTTGCACCACCACATCTGGCTTATTTTTTAATTTTAAGACAGAGTCTTAGTAAATTGCTAAGGCTGGCCTCAAACTTGCGATCCTCTTGCTTTAGCCTTCCAATCCACTGAGATTACAGGCCTGTGCCATGGTACCTGCCCAGCTTATCTTTTCTTTTCTCTATCTTTTTTGTGGTTCTCAGGATTGAACCCAGAGCCTCATGCACGCTAGGCAAGCACTCTATCACTGAGATCGCCAACCCTATGGCAATTTTTATGTCCTGAATTTTAATTTGAGCATGAAAATTCTGGATTTGATAGTTCCAAGGTTCCAGGAATTATACCTACTCTAGGCATTTTTTGTAAGTACTGGGGGTGGTGGCAGGGAAGGAAGGTGGCTAGAGTGGGCCTAGGATATAGAGAGAATAATGATAAAGAATATCCAGAATGGGAATTTCTCACATTTAGCAAGAAGAAGGAGAATTTCCAATGGAGTTGTAGCAAGAATACGTCAGCTTTTTCCTTTTTCTGTAGTCCCTTTGGCTCCTTTTCTAGCTTTCCCTCTTCTTTCATCAGACACACTCTATGACAAACATAAGCCCCAAATCACAACCTTGACGAATTTCAAATGGATTTTGTCAGCAAGGCCTACACTTCCCTGCTCCATTTCTAGCACATGTGCTAGGCTCAGCCCAGGCCTGGAGTCAGAGATGGAGTGGGAATATGTAACCCATACAGCTGGTGCCTACAATTTCAGCTTTTACTAGGCTCCAGAGAGAGGAGGAAAAAGACTGATGAACTTGTAAGTCTTCTGGGTTTCCTTCAGCTTTGGATGAGCTCTTTCTTTTTTCTTTTTTTTTAAAGAGAGAGAGAGAATTTTTAATATTTATTTATTTTTTTTTTAGTTTTCGGCAGACACATCTTTGTTAGTATGTGGTGCTGAGGATCGAAGAACCTGGGCCGCACAAACGCCAGGTGAACGCGATACCGCTTGAGCCCGAGCCCATGGATGAGCTCTTTCTTTACCCTTTATCAGGTGGCTGGAAAACTGGGTGCAGCAGTGGTCAGCTAACTGCCAACTAGGCAGCACTCATATCTTTGTTCCTGTTTGTTTCTTGGGTGGCCCCCTCTTATGCTACAACAGATATTTTCTTCTTCTTACTCCAGAGGGGTGATGGATAGATGAGCTACGAGAGTCTCTAGTCCCATTCATTAGTCCTGAGTCAAATACCATGACACTTGCTGATAACTATATTAGGTTGTCACCATTTCCACCCTGTCATACCTGGGATATGATTTTGAGATTATTTGAAATCTTGGGCAGACATCCATTAACGGTTTCCATTTCCTTATCAGACTCTTACAAGGTATGTTGGTCTGGTTAGAGCACCAGGGAAGAGGTTGTTGTAGAGCATTATTTTGGTGGTTAGTATGGGGGTATGACCTGGTGAGAGGTGTTGCTAGAAATTTTTGTTACAGTAACTATGTCCAGGGCTGGGGATGTGGCTCAAGCGGTAGACCGCTCGCCTGTCATGCATGCGGCTCAGGTTTGATCCTCAGCACCACATACCAACAAAGATGTTGTGTCCGCCGAAAACTGAAAAATAAATATTAAAAATTCTTTCTCTCTCTCTCTTAAAAAAAAACAACAAAAAAGTAACTATGTCCATTTCTAGAAAGGGTGATATATAAAAATATTACAAGACCTACTCTAGTAGTGTGTAATAACATTGGAGAAGTCTTTTGCCTTTATAAACACAGAACTTAGCAGGGCAAAGACTCTTAATAGGAATGGGCCAGGACAGATATTATCCTTGTTATCTATCTCATCTCTCACCATTTTAAATTAGGGTCTTCTTGGCTTCACATTCCAGGGTCATGTTATTCTTTGGGAAAACAAGACTCTGGGAAAAGAAGGGTCTAGTGAGTGCATAAACCAGGGCCTGATGGGGTCAAGGGGACAGACATAATTAGGCTATCTACTAGTCTAGGTCTTCTTAGATGAAGACAAGAAACAAGGCATAAAGTTCAGAATAAAAATTTTGGCTCATGCTTGAAGGATGAGGCATGTGTTCCCTTACACTGCTGTAAATGAGAGGGAACCTAAAGAACTTTCTGTTCTTAGCATTATTAGTGCCCTTCTAGCACAGCTTCTATCACAGCTGTGACTGTTCCAAGGCACCTCTGCATGTGTGGAACAGGTGCAAAAATAAGTGTGAGAGAAGTGGGAATGGGTAGGAAGTGAGAAACATGGGTGTAAAGACCTTCACTTTTCCTCATGATGCTAAAACCCACATTCATCTAGACAACAACTCTGAATATTAGGCTTCAGTCTTTTGTCTTTCAAGTTCCAGCTTCCTAAATGACCTAGAATCCAGTTTTTTTCCTTTAGTCTCTTGAATTAATTCCTCTCCCTCCTCTTCCTTGTGGGAAAGGATCTCTTGATTCAGGTCTTGCTGTAATATAGTCTTAGGAATAGTGAGTAGCAAAAAACGGTGCAGCTGTCAGGGGTATGCAGGTAGCCCAGGATAAGAAATAAAGCAGTCTGACACAGTAAAGCAGGCCGCAGCAAAGACTGTTCACCCATATTCCGTTTATAGCTTTGCCCAAGGTGCCCCTGTACCTCTTGGCTCAACCTGTCTCCAGTGCAATCAGCAAGTGACCTCAGTCCTTAAATTCTAGGCATGGCTCTGGGGCGTGAGGGGGTCTCACCTCAGTCCCCACTGTCGCATGCCCATTCCCAGGCTCCAGGCTCCCGCCTTCGCCGCCTGCAGCCTCCAGCCCCCACACCAGCCCCCGCCTAGATTCAAGCTCCAGCGCTGGGCTGCTTCTGCTGCAGCCGCTGCCATGGTGATGGGTCTCGCGAGAACTGCCGCTTGGTACCGTGCAGCTATCGCGCGATCGTGGAGGTGGGAAGTATCTTGGGCTGGGGGTGGGGGTGCGTCGCACAGCTCCTGTCGCGGTCGCGGCTTCCGGTGCTAGGTGGAGGGAAGGAAGGAGGGAGCTGGGGAGCGGGCCAGGAGAGCAGCGGCGCTGAAGTCGGCTTGGGGAGCCGGAGGAAAGAGAGCGAGAGCCGAGCGGAACCTGCGGGGGCGGAGGCGGTGGTAGCAGCGGCAGAGCTGGGAGCTGGAACAGGTGAGGGGCTGGGGAGGGAAGGCGGGTCCCCTTAGAGGGAAGAGGTTCGGTCAGGTTGGGGGCTGAGGAGATAGAGCGGCTCCGCCCGGCACTGCCTGACATGGAGCGGTGTAGCTCTTCTCATCCCAGAGCTCAGAGAAGGGCGTCGGGCCAGCCCCACGCCTGCCCCCGCATTTGAAGGACGCGGAGCTGGGATGGGGGTGGGGGGGCACACTGAATTTGTCCTCCGCCTCGCACAAGGGGGCAACCTGGGCTGCAGTTAGGTTTTCCTAGCCTGCAGGTGGTGGGCTTTCAAGGGGTGGGGGTTGAGGGGGAGGAAAGCCGTCCAAAAGAGAGATGATGCGGGGGCGGTGTGGCTGTTAGCATCTTTCTTTATTTTTTTCCTGTTAAAGGACTAGGGAATGCTGTTCTCTTCCTCTCCCTCCCCCATCTTAGCTATAGGAGACTGGAGAAAAGCCTTTTTGGCGTTACACCCCTCATCCCCCGCATCATGGGGCAAGGGTACACAGGAGGTCTTGAGGTTAGCAACTGGGCAGGCTGGTGAGACACCCCAGGGGCACTATTCTGGTGGAGGTTGCATGTTCAGTTCTTGGGAACAGAAGGTTGGGAAGAGGGCAGCAGGTGGGGAGAGGATAGAGAGGAGGCTTTAGAAGGGGGAGGGGGATCCAAGCTTGCTTGGAGAAGAGAGGTGGGGCCTTCCTCCCCCAGGCGTGGCGGGGGTGGTCACACAGGAGGAGGGAGAATATTGTCACTGGCCCCGAGTTTGTGTCTTCCAATCCGCTTTCTTTCTTTAGGAAGTACCAAGATTCCCGGAACAGAAAATGGAGCCATTGCTTATGACAATCGTTTGAGTGAAGGAGGGGGTGTTGGGGAGGTGAAGTTCCCTGTTAAAACGGGCCACTTGATTAGCTGAGTGGTAATTCTTCTTTGGGGGGAATTYCTTTCCTTCTGGGTTGTATTACTGCCGGTCTGCATTTGACCATGCCAGGAGGAATGTGGTGATGGAGGTGGAGGAGTGTGGTATGTGGTCAGGAGTAAGAAGAAATAGTGAGGTCATCAGGGTGAGGGAGAAGTGTAATGTAAAACCTCTCTGCTGCTGTTGGATTGGGTCATCCCTGGTCTATGGCATAAAAGTTTTATTGAGAGGACGACTGCTGCAGGAGTCTGATTGCTTGGGTCAGTGCAACAGGACAGAATCTAGACTCCTTATACCTCCTTTCCTGTCCCTAATCAGGCAAATATAGACAGTCTGTCCTTCCATTTTATCTTAGGCCTGTTGTTGGGGCCGTGTTATGACTGGAACTGGCCAGAGAATTGGTCCTTGCACATTTGACCTGGGTTTGAATAGCCTGTCTTTAAAAGTTCTTTTTTTTTTTTTTTTTTTTTTAAGTAGCACTGGGGACTGAACCCAGGGGTGCTTGGGTGCTTTGCCACTGAGCTACACCTCCATCTCCTTTTATTTTTAATTTTGAGACAGGGACTCACTGAGTTGCTCAGGCTGACCTCAAACCTGCTATCCTCCTGCCTCAGCCTTCCTAGTAGTTGGGAGAAGTTTGGGTTATAGTCATGTGCCACCACATCTGGCTCAATAAAGTTTCTAACTACAGTTTAAGGAAAGGAGAGAGATGGCTAGACTGTCACTGAAAGTGCTTGAAGATAGCAGAGCAAAAGACTTGGTCTTTCTACCTTCTTAAGAGGCACAAAACAGGCATAGATAATGGAAATTAAGATCTCCCCCACCAAAAATATTATTAGAATATAAAGTCATTATTTATCTGAAATTTCAAATTTTCTGCTTTCCCATTGTGGACAGAAGGCATCTCTCCATCATACCTAAGTCCTTCAAAGTGCTGTTGTCTGTTAATTGGGATCCTGGAGAGGAGAGGCCAATGTATGTATGTGGTACCTGGCACAGAATTGGTACCAGTGAATGATACCTGCTGATACACTGAATATAAAGTATAAAGGAAAGCAGACAGCAGTCTAGAAAGAATGAAAATGAAATCTTAAATTCACAAAAGGTCATATCGTATGTGTTCATATTCCCTTCTCTCTTTTCCACTAGACTTAAAATAAAAGGAAATAGACTTAAAGGACAAAGGGTGGGATTTATTGGTTAAAAGGAGAAACTTCTTTAATACCAGTTTTGTTAAAACTGAGTATGTAACTGAGGGAAATTTTGGAATCTGCTTTCCCATATAATTTAGATGCTGAGAAGAAGTCAGAATGTATCACTAGCCAAGCAAGGTGACACATACCCATAATCCTAGCTACTTCCAGTGACTGAGGCAGGGACAGGAGGATCATGAGTTCAAGGCCAGCCTCAGCAGTTTAGTGAGGCCTTCAGCAACTTAGACTCTATCTCAGATTTAAAAAAAAAAAAAAAAAAAAAAAGGACTGGAGATTTAGTCAGTGGTAAAGTGCCTTTGAATTCAATCTCCAGTACCAGTCTCCCCCTACCCCCGCCAAAAACAAACAAACAAACTCAAAAACCAAAACTGTTTTTGGCTCTCATCTTTTCACTTTCAGGTAAATTTAAGGCAGAATAGTGTAGTAATCAAGAGTGGGCCTTGGGAGCTGGGGCTGTAGCTCAGTGGCAGAGTGCTAGCCTAGCACATGTGAGGCACTGGGTTTGATCCTCAGCACCACATAAAAATAAACAAAATAAAGACATGCTGTCCATCTACAACTACAAAAAAAATTTTTTTTTAAAGTGGGCCTTGGAATTAGATAAAATTGAGTTGATATTCTGCCTCTGCTCTTTATAAGTTGCGTATTTTTGTTAAAAAGCACCTGTCCCCCCCTGGATTTATTTTCCTTATCTGTAAAGAAGACAGTGGTAGTACCTATGGTTGTCATGAAAATTAAATGTGATGAAAAATGTAAAGCACTTAGTATTGTATGAAGCACCAAAACCTTAGCTGCTGTGAATAATTGATCATAATAGTAATAATAACGTGATCACTCCAGGCTACCTTAAAGGAGAAGAGGTTTACAAAAGAACATCTTGGCACCTGAGGTGCCTGTGTAAAGGGATGATTGTTACCATGACTTTTTATGCTGGTTGTAGCTATGAGCAGTGAAATCTTTTTTCAGCATCAGCCTCATAGAGGCAGCTCCTGCTGCCTGAGTGGGAGGTGAAGCTGAAGCAGAACAGGGGCCCTGTACCATCAACTTGGATGTAGAGTGAGGATGTGGGGGCTTAATAATGTTTGTTAGAAAAGTCAACATGACTCTGAGGTAATGGTTGAACATCCTGATTGGTCTTCATCAGAGGTTTAGATTCCTGGGTTCCCTTGTTTTAAGTTTCAATCAGTATTTCAGGATCCTCCATTTCCTGGGTCACTCTTTTCATTTAGTCATACCTTTTTAAAATGTCTGCCTCTGAGTATCTCTTTCATGATATATTGTCTTAACATCTATAGAGATTGTGATATCTGTGTAATTCTCTTTTATCATACCAATCACTCCAGCATCTGTGGTAAATATAGGTGAAGTGCTAATAAGGCCTTTTTTTTAAGATAATTTTTTTAGTTGTCAATGGACCTTTATTTTATTTATTTATACATGGTGCTGAAAATCAAATCCAGTGCCTCACACAAGCAAGTGCTTTGCCACTGAGCTACAACCCCACCCCCTAATAAAGTTTTTTGATAATTTAAAGACTTGAGAAACATTTAGAAAGAGTCCCACAAGTGTAAAGGCTTTGTATTGTAGGCTGGGAAATAATTGACTGAGGTAAATTCTTTGTGTTAGGGCTTTTGCCATGGACTTCTGCAGAGAATCTGCCACACCATATGGACTAGAAAGGAAATGGCTCAAGATTTCAGGGATCTGCTATTATTGCCATATTCCTGAAGAAAGATGAAATGGCAGGTCTCATGGTATTTTCTAGCTCTTACTTGTGAGAGCCTGGCATAACACTTCCTTTATTAACTTATGCACAAGTGTCAGACATGAATGTTTAAACTTCGACATGAACTTAACATGCTGTAAAATGTTTGCTTTCTGTTGCAATGATTTTTGTCCTTTTTTTTTTTAAAAAAAAAAGCATTCAAACTTTACCTTATTAAACTCTTATTTGAAGTCTAATACATCAAATGAATTAGCTGAGTGTAGCAGTACACTCCCTGTAATCCTAGTTACTCTGTAGGCTGAGGCAGGAGGATCATAAATTTGAGACTTGCCTGGGCTACTTAATGAGACCTTGTCTCAAAATGAAATACAAGAGGCTGGGGTTGTGTCTCATGGTAGAGCGCTTCCCTAGCATGTGTGAGGCACTGGGTTTGATGCTCAGCACTGCATATAAATAAATGAATAAAATAAAGGTCCATCAACATCTTAAAAAAAATCAAATATAAACTGGCTGGGGATGTGGTAGAATGCCTTTGGGTTCAATGCCCAGTACTGCAAATAAACAGAATACTGCTCTGGTATTAGTGGGGATGGGAGAACATAATGGGACCTCCTCCTTTTCCCAGGCAGTCTCTGAATCCATCCAAAGAACCTGAGGGCTCTGAGATCTTGGAAACCACTTATTCAGTTTGTAAAATATGGGAAAAGAACCAGGGACCACATATAGGGTACTGTTGTCTTTGATTCCCCAGATTTTTTTTGCCACCCTTAGTAGAACCATTCTCCTCTGCAAGGATTTCAGTCATTAACTACAAGTTAGTCATGGTGCTAGGCACATGAAACATGAATAAGGCATAGATCTTGCAGGTAAAGGGACTCACAGTCTAGTGGAAAACTGTCCAACCTTTTTTTTTTTTTTGTACTTAGGGGGACTTAACCACTGAGCCACATCCCCAGCCCTTTTTTTATATGTTATTTAGAAACAGAGTCTTGCTGAGTTGATAAGTGCCTTGTCAAGTTGCTGAGACTTGTTTTGAACTTGTGATCCTCCTGCCTCAGCCTTCTGAGCTGCTGGGATTTCAGGTAGAAGGCCCCAACCTTTTTCCTAACATGACATACACAGAAATAGACACAACTGCTCCTTT